TCCAGGTTCATGGCAGCACCTATAACGTTCTGGAAGGTGAACCCTGTGGAAGAAAGCAAGCCGAGACTGTATGAAGAACTTTTGTCGTCATTATTTAGCCCGATTGACTTGGGTTCACACGAGGGAATGAACTAGAAAATTACATGTGCTGGGATTTCATACCTTTCAAAGCGCTTTCACTGGACCCTTAAAATATTCTGTGAAGGAGAAAGGGCAGGTAATTTTCTCTCACTTTTATTCCACAAAGATCCCCCAATTGCTTACCATGTGCCTGCTAATGCTTGGGGGAGAGCCATGAACAAGGCCCTGTCCTGCCTTCGAGAACTGCAGTCTGGGGGATAGCCCACATCACTGGTTAGTCCCAGGTGATCGCCCCTTCCAAATACTGACCAAGTTCCCAAGACGAAACATTTTCAGGTTGTTTTGCCAAAGTCCCAATTTCAAGGCAAGGAAAGTCAAGGCCCGGAGAGGTTGAACAAGTTGGTAAAACCAAACAGTCAGCCAGGAACAGAAGGGGAGATGAGCCAACTCAGATTTATTTTGTGTCAACTATATGCTGTACCCCCGCTATTAGCCATCCCCACAGATGTCATCTGATCTAATGTTCAATGACCCTTGGGTAATCTCTATTTTCTAGGTAAACTGAGGGTCAGAGATAATCTAAACATGCTCAAGGTTCACAGATAATGAGGGGTAGAGCCTGAATTTGTTCCCAAAACAAATCTTAACACAAAGCCCCAAATTCTTTCTCTTATACCAGCATTTTCCAATTTTCCATCATTTACAAACTGCTCTCGCAAGTTTTACCATATGCACAGAAAACAACATATTCTGTAACTTAACTTTTTCTATTTAACATCCTCCTAAGCAATAATACCCATGAAGTTGCAATTTGATAGAGTTAAAAGTTGTCATCTGAATACTGCTTGAAATAATCTCAGATACTATATCAAACTCACTCAGAGAAACATGCATCCTTGACAGTCTGCATCTCAGAGACAGAATCTAAACCTGTCTCTCTTTCTATAGTTCCTGAGAATTTGTGCAATTTTTATATTTCTGCTGTGTTGCAGTCACGATGGGGACTTATGAAGAAGGAATGCTCCTCACGCGGACTCCCAAACATTAATTTAACCTCTGCTCAACCTATGTGGTTATAGGTTTAGGAAGAAAACAGTAAAATGTCCAGAGAGTTCCAGTGATGAGAAAATAGGGCAAGGCCCCTCTGTAAGGCTTCCTAGGTGGGTTTCTAATTAGGATGGTTTCAAGAATAATTAGACTTGTCTGTGATTTAATTCTCAAAACTAGAGGCCTTCTCAGTTGAAGGATTCCTAGAACAGCATAAGACAGCACTGTAGAAAGAGAATTTCATGAAGCAACATTTAGCTGTCCTCCATTCCTAGAATAACCTTCTGGTGGCGGTGCAAACTTGCAAAAGTCCCTCCCCCTTCTGGATCAGGTTATTTTCTAGAAAAGAAGTTCCATATGAACCGGGGACATTTTGTTTTGTACACCTCTGTGTCCCAGCACCTAGAACACTGGTTGGCACATAACAGGTTCAATAAATATTGGCTGAATGAGTGAATGAGTCAACCCATTTATCTATAAATGAACTAAAAGACCTCTAAGGTCTCATCCAATAAGTAGAAATAAAATGATGCTCTAGTCCAGGAAACCATGGAATTAGAAGATAGTACCTAAGTACAGAACCCCCATATCCACAAATTATCTGTGGATAGTCTAATGAATCTAAGTTGAAGGAAAGAACAAGTCTTCCAACTAGATCACAGGCCAGGGGCCCAGCAATGATGACACCATAGGCTGGTGAATCTGTAAGAGCCTGAGTAGTAGTAATCCAAAGGGGTTATTAGTCTCCAATGGACTGATCGAAACCTCCAGCCTTAGGCCACAGTTATTAATGACTTGGATGAGAACAAAGAGAGCTTGTTACCAAATTCCTACGTGACAGGAAACAGTAAGAAGCAGCAAATATACACATGGCAAAATCAGAATCTAAAATGGTTTGGGTAGGACAAAATGACATAGGGAGTTTAAAAATGTAAAACAGAAAGGAAATAGATGTTTTCCCTTTTGGCCAACGGCGTGATTAAGAAATGGAGAACAAGTAACTTGCAATACTGTGTATTTAAAAGACTGCAATATTGGTTGACTGAATGCAGAGTAGGAGTCCACAGTGTGACGTGGATGCCAAAAAGTCCAATGCAATCTCATATTGCATTAACAGAAATAGAGTGCTCACAACACGGGAGACAAAAATCCCCCTCTACTCCATGCTGGAATACCATTGCAATTTCTGATAAACTTCAAGGAAGACAGTATAATGATTAACATAATAAAAAAAGTGGAAAAAAAAACTTCAAGGAAGACATAAACACACTGAAACACAACCAGAGGAGAGGCAGAAATCAGGGAGGAAAAAATATTCCAGAAGAGGAACGGAGGACGTTTAGCCTAGAAAAATCAAAGACTTTAGGAAGGGGAAAAAAAACACACAAGAGCTGTCTTTAAATATTTCAAGGGAAATCGAATTAGCCTCATCGACTGGAAGGTATAGCAGGGTAGTGAGTATGTTCTGCTAATTAGAGCTATTACTACCCAAAATGGGCTGCCATGTGAGAGGTAGGTCTCATCGTAGGAAGTGGGTGTGTAGAAAGAAGGGAAGGCTGACGAGGGCAAGGATCCTTCCAATCCTGACAGTGATCGTATAAGAGGGCTAAGCCCATCATCATACTGTGAGTAGGGCTGTCAGTGCAGATAAACACAGGTCTCTAGGTCAGGATCTACACTGACATACCCCAGCCTTGGATTCTCTCTGAAATCTAGAGTGCTATTCAAATTTGGCAAAAAGTGACTGATTTTGCCTAGAAGAAGCAACATTTCTGCGCATTTCCCTCCAGTCCAAGGCCTGGCTTAGTGATGCAAGATAGGCAAAGAAAGGTGGGACCAATCTAGAAGGAACTGCAGGGTAGACAAGGGAACGGACTGGGTGAATGGCGAGATGAGTAATAAGCATTGATATAATACAATCAAAATCAGAGGAGATCATCTCTTCAGAGCTTTGCAGAGAAGGTTTTTTGGACACAGGTTTGTCTTCTCTTCTCCGCCCTACCTCATGTCTCCGGTTGCTCAAAGAAGAAAAATGGTTCTGTGTCTAAGGAAGCCCCCACTAAGATCTGAAACTCAGCCCCATCTGTTAGTCTGTTTCCCCAGCCATGAAGTTGAGAGGCAGAAGAGGAAGGCCAGGTGCTCAGAAATGCCTCACTGACACCTAAGAATTAGAGTGGCTCCCATTTATTGAACATCTATTATGCATCAGACACTGTGTCAGGTCTGACATTTTACGTTGCAGGTTACCTATTATTTTACAGCTGAAGAAATTAAGGCTCAGAGAGGTTAAATGGTTTGGCTAAGATGTCACCACTTCAAAATAATCACAGCTCATATTCACTAAGTACTTCCTCTGTGTCTGGGGCTGTTTTAAGCAATTACGTGTGTTATCTCATCTGTTCCTCACGACAATTCTACGAGATAGGTTCTCCTATTGTCCCCATTCCACAGATGAGAAGAATAGCCTCAAAGGGCCTAAATGACTTATTCACAAAGTCACAAAGCTACAAGTAATATACCCTAGCACTCTTTCCTATGGGCCACACTGAGTCTCTGTAGTAGAAGAAATAACCCGAGCTCTGCCTCTGGTCTGCCAGGCAGGGGCCCTCCAGCAGATCAGAAAGGACGGAGACTTTGATTTGTGGCTGCGACCCCTAGGTCCTACGCTGGGACAGAGATGCGTGTGCAAGGTCAGGGGCCTACAGGGCAAGGAAAGAGCACCCAGAGGGCCCGGCCGGGCAGCCCAGAGTGATCCAGCCAGGAGCTCGTCGCAGCTGACCCAGGAACCCACGCATGGCCACACCGCTCTCCGAGCGGAAATGACCCCCGCTCCCTGCCACTCGCACACAACTCCCCGGGCCATCGGGCCCCACGCTGCTCACTGCTTCTTCTCTTGCCCGAACGGGAAAGGGCCGTTCTGTCTTCCCAAGAAAATGCTCCAAGTCTGGTGGAAACTCTAGCACTTCACACCACTTCTTCTTTTGCCAAGTGGGTCACAAACCGGGAGGCTTTTCAACAGAAGCTGACCCTCCCCATCCCTCCTAAAACACCAAACCGAGTAAAAGGTACTTTCCTGGAAGGGGCGGTGGCAGCAGCTGGCCCGTGATGGGGAGTGATTTATGACTGACATTGTTTAGAACCACCGGTACATGATGATGACAAAAAGCAGACCCACTCTTAGTCAGCTTCATTACTGCTTTTAAATTCTCTACAGCCCAGGCACGCTGTGACTGCCTGCACCCAGGAGACTGTCCCCCTGGTAGGCCACTGCCTGGCAGGCTGCTCCATGACTTCTGCAGCCCGTGCCTGCTCCTCAGACACTTCCTCAGTGGCTGGCAAGAAGCTCCCCAGGCACTTACCAGATCAGAGATGAAAACTTCACTTTTAAAAAGATCAGACGTCAAGCGCCCATCAGACGAAATCAAATGCCTAGGCGGAAGATGAGCTGCATTTCCCTTTTAGAAATAAAGGCTTAACTTTCACCTATCCATATCAAGTTGTAACTTTAATCACTCTTACGTGTACATAATCATCCCCTGTCTATAAATTGGCCCATTCGCAGCAACCATACGGGCAACTCCAAAAAAAACGGAGTTGGCAGCAACCTGCACCCCCCGATTGTCCTAATGCGGGGCCTGTGCCATTCCTCTCTGGTGATTTTTCTTCTGTCTCCCCGGAGGAGGCTGGCACATTCACTGTCTTCCCAGTTTCTTCTCAAAGACCTGCAGAGAGGCCACAAAGGCCAGCCGCTGAGGAGGAAAACTCCCCAGGAAAGTGCTGAAGGAACAAGTAGCAGGCCACCTGGGCTGCCGTCTCACCCCGTGCAGGCCGATTTCCAGTCATGAACCAATGCACAGAAGGCGTCTGCTTACCTGAACTGGAACGCTCTATCTGCTGCAACGTCCTCAGAACTTGGTGTATGTCCTTCATGCTGGTATCTTTCTGGCTGTACAGAAGAAGCCGCCGAGCGTCTGAGAACAGGCGAGACACGCTGCAGGGGGTGCAAGAAAAGAAGAAAAGCCCTGGTTAGACCAGCTGCCTCTCTGGCTTGAAGAAAGTACCTGCCAGGAAAACATGCCCCTGCCTGGCTGCCCGGTGTTCCATGGGCCAACCCTGGTCCACTCCCACTCCTCGCCGCAGCCAGCAGCACCAATAGCCTACGCTCCTTCCCATCCACCCGCCATCCCTGCCCCGAATGCTCTTCCCAGATGTCCACACAACCAAATCTTACCACCCTTCAAGGCCCAGCCCACGTGCCTCCTCTCCAGGAAGGCCTCACACCCACCCACCCACCCACCCACACACATCCAGGACCAACTTATCCATGAGACACAGAAGCACAGGGCCTAGGGCCCAGGAGGCTCTTAGGGGTCCACAAAAATTTTTAATGTCTTTTAAAATCAGAATTTAAAAAAATGAAATTCAGAAATTCAGGATGAATATATATGATAATGAATCCAACCTGGATTATAGTCATCTTTACACCAACACAGTTATCAAATAAAATTTTTAATATTTCTGCGTGCAAGGAGGGGTCCCTAAAAGCTACAAAGCCTAAGGTCCATGGATGTTATAATGTGGCCCCGTCTGGCCCGGCTGCAGCTTCCTCGGAACTGTCCTGATACATCTCCTACAGTCCTTTGTCCACTCGAACTCATGCCATGGTTCTGTGCATTCCAAGAATCTTCAATGGCTCATTCAGCTAACACTTATTAAGTCCATATTTATGTCCAGTATTGAAGCCAGGAGCCAGAAGACAAAAGCAAAGGAAGCAAAATCCTGGCCCTCGGGGAACTCACACTGGGGAAGAGAGGGACCTGCAGACACTGGGACACCGCAGTATGACAGGGCAGTGACAGAGTCAGAGTGAATCTGGAAGCAAAGGAACAAACTCGCCCAGCCCAGGCAGTGAGCTCCCACGCCTATCTCTATACCACCTCCCCCAGCGTCTAGACCAGCCGCTTCAAATGCACAGGAAATGTTGCTAAGTGAGTAGGCTAATGAATGCACAGAGCTGACATGCTGTGTCTCCCCCTCCCCTACTTACTGACCAGTTTTTGGAAGAATGGCCCCCAACCACAGGACCCTTATTGTCATAAGAGCTACATATTGTTACTCCTAAAATGCACCAAAGTAAGATCCCACAGTCTTAAATCCTGGCAGCAATTCTCCCTGCCCTTGTTCTTCAAACCTTTACAAAAGCAACCTCACTCAAATTCAACCATTCAAAATTCTCCAGAGGTTGAGAAGGGAAGAAGAGTATTAACCGACAAGTTTGGAAAGAAAACCCGATATAGTACTTACATGGATTTGTTAAAGTTTCCAACAACCCCAGGGGCCTCACCAGGAGTCGGGTAACGGAAACAGGGGTTGTTGGCATTACAGATAATCCCCTGAACCCAAGGAAGCGTTCCTGCAGAGGGCATGGCTTTGTTTGGAAAGTGGCCTATGAAATCAAGAAGAAGAAAAACACAAAGAGAAACATTAATTCTCTGAGGCAATTTTGGGGACTCGACAGGAACCTTTATCTCTTTTGCTTCCACCCATACACTGCTCCATCCCAAATGTGTGTGTCCCATCCCTCACACCCCAGACACCTGCCACCTCTGGACTGATCCCAGCCTGAGCCAGAAACTTGGCATCAGACAGTGGTTCTTAATCTACCTGCCTCATCTGTAGATAGCGGTTCACGACCTCAGCCGTGGGGAAGTGACGAGAGGGGCAGAACAGAGCACACACAGAAAGTGCCTGACGACCCTGACTTCGCCTTCCACCGCCTGCCTCACCTGCCAGAGATATGGAGGGCCCCGGGAATGGCCTGATCCAATTCCTCCATGCTCTAAGGAGACCACAGCGAGATGAAGTGGCAGGTGGAAAATGCTCCAGGCGGGGCGGGGCGCCTGGGTGGCTCAGATGGTTAAGCGTCTGCCTTCGGCTTCAGGTCATGATCCCAGGGTCCTGGGATCGAGTCCCGCATCGGGCTCCCTGCTCAGCGGGGAGTCCGCTTGTCCCTCTCCCTCTGTCCCTCCCCTCCACTCATTCTCTCTCTCTCAAATAAAGAAATAAAATCTTAAAAAAAAAAAAAAAAATGCTCAAAGAGTCAGTGCGCGGGACTGGGAGCAGAACCCACATTTCCGTGATCCCAATCCACATTCCTTCCCTTATATCTGAGGCTTCCCTTGTGCTCCCTCTCTTCTCAGTCCCCTCGGGTACTGTCCTTTGTTGGCCAAACATGTTAAGTTTCTCCTCCTCTGCCAGCTCATAAGCTCCTCAAAGGCACATAATAAACATGCTAACTTGGGGTCAGATGTCATCTGTGAAGCTACCTTTGTTGTCAGTGTTGTTCTGTCGCTCATCCAAACTGCGAGCCCCATCCCATAGGTCACGTCCTCACCCTCCTTTCCCTTCACTACGGAGGAGCTGCTGACAAACAGCAGGTTTGGGGGTCCTTGGGCGGGTCCTAGGTGTCAGAGGCACACCTTGGTTGCAGTAGGCAGCCACAGGGGCCACTGATGAGGATCAAGATAAATGTGCCCTGGGACCAGGGGTTTTAGCCGAAGGACCAAGCATGTGTGAATTCCTTTGGACAGAAAGGCCATGGCTCCAGCTTTCATCACATTCTCAGGGTTACCTGTGACCCTTAAGAGAGTTAACAACCATTAAAAACAATGGCTCTAAGTGACAAAGGGCTGTATAGCTTTACAGGGGTCGGGGTCAGACCTACGGGGATTCATATCCAGTCCCTGCAACTTGCTAAGTAGCAACTTCGGCCAAGTTACCCAACCCCTACGTCAGTTTCCTTGTGTGACAGAAATACAGTGGACTCCACAGAGCTGCAGTGAGTGGTGCGTGAGTTCTTACAGGGAGAGCCTGGCCCAGGGCAAAGGCCGGGAGAGCGAGCCTGTCAGGACTGTTGCAGCACTCTGGTTGTGAGCCTACGACAGTACTCACTCCACCACTGTCCAGCCAGAAATACTCCTTCCACCCCACAGCTACGACCTTCCTCCAGAGCAGGAATCCTGTTTCATTCGTTTACTTTTTTTCACACACATATGCTAACAGAGTCTCCCCAGAGGGTAAGCTACAGCCAGAAATTGCTATCCTCTGCATTTCCAATATTGGGGTCCCTTTTTTCTTTTTCTTCTATCATAGTCCAACCAGAGAGGCAACCTCCAAAGCAAGGATGTAACAAGATCTGATCACTGTGGCCACCCTCTGCAGGGACTCTGGCCTGTAGAACGTTTACTCAGTAAACTTCCTTATCTCCCTGTTAATAGTTCAAGGAAAACCAAACAAGGTCCCTTGCCTGGGTCAGCTGCTCCTCATGCAGGGAAAAGTTTATGTAACCCAACCAAATACTCGAAGAATCAAGGGATTCTCTTTAACCTCCTGAAGATACTGGCAGCCAAAATAGGGTGGTGTTGGTCCAAGCAGCACTGGGCAGTGAAGGGGAAGTTATTTCAAGCTAATCCTTGGGGGAGTAAAACAAAGACCCTTCCCTAGAGGTCCCACCCGATTTACAAAAAAAAAAAAGGCAGTATGGGGACTTGGCATTTGGTATACAGGACAATAGTCAAATAGCATAATGGACCTCCACCGCCCAGGGAAGTGATTAGGACCTTGATGGCTCTCGATCAAACTCGGAAAGATTTATGGGGAAGAATTAAACGCCCATCTTTTGTTCCCAGGCACAAGACACCTCTGCAGGCTTCATCTCGGCTCTCTGCCCTTCTAGCTAGGTCCCTAGAGGGTGGTGAGGCTAGGAGGGTAAGGTTGCAAGAAAGGCACAGGTTTGGGGGTGGGGGGCAAAAGTCGCATCTGCCTTCTGTAAGTATAGCAATTTCACATTTCTTAGAATCTATAATCTAGATCTAGAGGGATCTGGGTTAAAATTCAACAACTTGCCCAAGGTCATGACCTCAGCAAGAGGTGTAGCAAGGATCCAAACAAACCCCAATCTGTCTGATGCCAAGGTCTGCACTATTTCCACTCCACCATCTTGCCTGCTTGTGATCGTTCCTGAGCACAGCGTAACAGATAAAAAGGCTGAGTTTTCCCTAAAACCCTAAAACATGTACTTCAGTGAAGCTTAGGGTAATGCTAAAATACAATCAAATATGCATTTGTTCATTAATCTTTGGGGCACCAAAAGAGAAAGCAGAATTACCTCCCAGGCCCACAAACTGAGCGTATATTTCATTTTATGCTCTTTTCCTTTCTGGCAAAATCAGAAAAAAACACATCTGGTAGAACGTTCTTGAGGTTTTGTGGATTTGGGGTTTTTTTAAACTTGAATATGTGTAAGATGTATTAGCAAATTAGCAGGTAAAAAACTGCCACTATGTGCTGTGAGAGAGATGGGATGAGCCTAAGAACACAATTAAAAGGTGTCCCTAACCCCATCTCTTCCCTGAAGAACGATATCCTGCAAAAATATCCTGAGCAGCCAGCGGGCTGTGAGCGGAGCTAGCTAATGGTAGGAAAAGGCACTGAAGCAATGGAACAGAGGTCCCAGTGAAACCTTCCACATAAACGTTGACCCTTCAGACTGGGACATTTCTGCAGTCAGTCCATCCAATGAGCCTAGCCAGGAGACAAAGATGGTGATGACAGAATGACACTCAGGACAACCACATGGGGTAGGTGTCGTCATTCCCCTTTGATAGATTTGAGGACACTCGGGTACAGAGAAGTGATATACCTAGTTAAGTGTCGAGGCCAGGATTCAAACCCAGGTCACCTGACATCGAGAGCTTGTATTCTTAGCCACTACTGTATTTTCTACCCTCACTATATAGGCCATTATCCAAACACATGCCCGGGAGTCAGATGATTGGAGCTCGATTTCCTGTGTCACTTATTAGATGTGTGACCTCGGGCAAGTCCTGCACTTTTTGGAGCCCCAATTTACTTACCGAGAAATTAAAGCAAACGCTAACAATGAGGGTCTATTATACAAGGTTGTTATGACAATCCAGTGAAATCATATTAGGCAATCTAAGCAGTCCTATACAAATGCTGCTTAAAATGATATGTTCCCTGATTTGCAACTGTGCAATAAAAATGTAATGCATATTAAAAAAAACAAAAAACAAAAAAACCTGGCAGGGTCCAGATGACAGCTGAGTTAAGGCACTGCCTCAGGGGGCTCTTTTAATCACCATCCTCTGACTTATCCGTAAGCTGCTTTTACTTCCATGATCTAAAATGTATGAAACAGATGTTGGCTATTATTATAATTACTGTTATCACCATTGGCTAGGACTGAAAATGGTTTCCTGAGTTCACGCCTTATCAGAAAATTGGAAGCGTTTCTATTCCAAACCATGTGCGGTGTTTCCTAAAGATAGTGTCTTAGGACAGGTCAAATGTAGTCCGTGCCCACTGCCTGGATGTCGCGTGCCAGTAGAGTCTCACGCAGGAGGCTCAGATACTTACATTCATGTTGTTCATAGGGTGGGTAGCTCAGCCGGACAGAGATCAGGATCAGGAAGATAAACAGAGGCCAGGCCACTTCCAGCAATAGCTGACACTGAGGGGGAAATAAGACAGAGCACTGTGAGTTTAAAAAATAACACGGATGCTTAACTCTACTGGGCTTTGGGAAATCCACAGTTGTTAATTAAACAACTGATGGGCCCTTCAGCCTCTCCCACTACTCTCCAGGCTTTATCAATGCTGAATTGTTTGCAGTTCTCATAACATACTATTCCATACCTCTGTGTTCTCCTGGAGAAAGGGAAAACCCTTCCTAGCCTGCTTCATCTGGCTCATTGCTTCCTGTTCAAGACACTCCAGCACCATTTCCTTGACTAAAATCTCAGGCTAAGTGAGAAACCCTTCTCCTGTAACAGTAACCCACGCATATTCCTCCCAGAGCCTTTTCCTCCAGCCTGAAATCACCCACCACGGGCTTCCTCAGGCAATAGGAGCACCCTGAAGGCAAGCACTCAGCTTTGCATTCCCAGCCCTTGGGCAGTGTCAGGTAGGGAAGGACCTTTAGTGGAAAGGAGAGGGCGGGGCAACCTGCTGGGCTCAACACACCACCACCGCTCCTTTAACAGCACACACAGTTGCCCACCCCCCCACCCCCCTCCACCCCCAAATTGGGCTAAGGCTCCAAAGGACAATGGAAATTGACACAGGGTTCCATATGGACCTTTGTGCCTCCAGGACTGGAAAGAGCTGGGAAAAGTGCAAAGTTCTTCTTCCCCGTCTATCAGGGTCTCAGTACCACCTTCTCCAGTGGGTTAGAAGATCATTAAACTTACAAGTAAGCACGATCCACTCTGGTTAAAACAGTGCAGTATCTCTAAAGGAAAACCCTGCCTCAGTGAGTTACTAAGGGATAAATAAGCCCAGGGACAAGATGGAAATCGTTAAGACATAATTTTATTGAACCAGGGGTGTTCAAACAACTAGTTACACTGCCCGAAGACTCACCTCTTTCATTCCCTTCATTCCTAGACTCTGAGGTTCTAATTAGGATGAACACCAAAGAGCCCAGAAGAGTCATGGGGCCTTGTGGTTATGAGTAATTAAAACTGTGGCTGCAGAGCCACAAAGTCAATAGAACACTGGCCTGAAATCCCCCTTTTTTTTCCAAACAGAATTTTTTTTCTTGATCTGTAAGTCCATATATTTTTATTGTGGAAAATTTGAAATTAAAAAATTCTAGAAAAGTAGGAAAAAGTAAATACGAATCACCCTTAATCCTACTTTCCAAAGATAATCCCTAGTAAACTGAGCTAACAGTGCCCCCTATTAATATTTTGGTCTTTTTTTCTATGCATACATGAATATTTTTCTCTACAAAATTGACATTATACAGCATATATAATTTTGTATTTTGCTTTTTCATTTAACATTACAATGGGAGTATTTTCCATGACAAAATATTCTCTTAAAAATGGATTTTAATGGCCATTTTGATATTCCACACTGTGAAAAGATCATAATTAATTAAACTCTCTGCTCTTGCTGGTGCTTCAGAGTGTTTTTGCTTTTTTGTTTATCATTTGTGGTTGCATTTTGGTATTTTAAATAACAAATCTTCTTTTTGGAAGGAAATACAAAAATGATAATAGTAGATGTCCTGGGGTGATAAGAACATAAGTGACTTTTTTTTTTTTTTTAAACACTTTCCTGTGTTTCCTAAATCTTCCATAATGAGCATGTATTAGTTCTTGAATGGAACAAAAATCCACTGTTACCATATAACCATGAAGAATAATTTATACTATTTGATAGCACATGGTGGCGTAGGAGGGTGATGGAGGGTGGGGGTATAAATGGGTCCCTCTTTGGAAGAAAGCATGCTATCAATGGGGTCTCCAAGACCAAAGACATGGCTGGTCTTCCTAATATTTCTATAAATAATCCCAAAGAGGCAACACACATTGAAATCTCCAAGCTTTCAAATGACATTTGGTCTCTTCTACCAGCAGAGTTGGAAGTCCCTCCTTGGAGTCTCCCAGGTACTCCTTGCCTTCACCAGCACTTGGCACAGCAGGGGCCCTATTTCAAAAGGACTTTCTTCCCCACTGTCACTTTCTTCTCACTAAGCCTGCCACATAGAAAGTCTTAAAAAAGATTGACTAAGAGAATGAAGTTTATGAAATAATGGAAATATAAATCAGTTGAGCTGTCTGGGAAAGCAATTTGACCATATGTAGTCAAAAGACATGTTTATCCCCTTTGACCAAGTAATGTGCATAGGAATTCATCCTACAGAACTAAATTTAACATATCAAAATGCTAGAAACATGAAGTTATTCATCCACTGAAACACTGTAATTGCAAAATATTGGAAACAACTTAGTAGCACAGTACTGGGGAAATGATTAAATTATGGTACAGCTACTGGACAATATATTATGCTGTCCTTACATCTGTGAAACACAGATACCATTAACCATGTAACACTAAGTGAAAAAAGCAGAACACAAAATTGTATGCGTTACAAGCTTACAGCTACATAAAATCACTTACAAATATGAACAGGAATAAACATTTTAAAAATGGCATAACTGTGAATGAACTCAGAAAAGAATAATGAATTCAGGAAAAAAAAAAAACAAAAGCGAAATTAAATGAAGAGTAAGATAGTCACCAACCTTGGCACTCTGAAGTTACCATTTGTACATTTAGGATAAATAGTAGCTACAGTTTTTTTATTTAGAGGCCAGTATGTAGTAGGCACACTACATATGCATTATCTCTATTTAATCCTCCAAACAGCCCTGTGGTGTAGGAACCATTACTGTCCCCATTTTATATGTGGCAAGGCTAAAGCTCAAGGAGGGTAAGTCATGGAGATAGAGGCAGAGTTATGATTAACCGCTAGTTCTGCCCAACTCCAGAGGCCACATGGCATTGAAACAGCAGGTGGCCCCGGTGGGAAACGACCGCATTGGTGGAAAGGTCACAAAACATCAACTGGTTCCACCAAGGTAATGTGAATTGTAACAGTTACAGCCAATAGTGAGCACCTACTGCATACCAGGTATTTTTATATATCTCATCTCTAATATTTAATTCTCATAATGACTCTGTGAGATAGGTTGAATTGTTACCATGAAGCTAAGATTTGGAGAGGTTATCACCCATAATCTGGTAACAGAGTGCACTAGCACTTGAACCCAGTTCTAGTGACCCCCTTGTGCTTTTGCACCCATTTTACAGATGAGGACACTGAGGCCCAGAGAGTTAATAAACAAACATTCAAATGTTGCCAACAGGGTATGAATTTATCAAATTAAAACTACACTGGTGGATTACTGTAAAACTACCAGGAACGTCAATGGCATCCTGCGATGCTAGGGCCAAAAGATCCTTCTCTTACTAACACAAATGTATATGCATGCCTCTCAGAATTGTTTTGAAATTTAAGAAGATAATGGATATAAAAGCATGTCAAAACTACAAAACACAGTCTACACACCAAGAATCAGTCTTATAACTATGAAGATTGTTTGGGAATATGGAAACACACACCAAATAATGTCAAACAGAAGAAGAAAACAGAACGTAAAATGGTACGTATACATGTGAGGATTACAACTGTCGCCTTGGGCTATTGTCGCTCAAGTCCCTTCAGTGCCAAGGACCGCACAATCCGACCCTCATAATCATGACGCATCCACCCTCAGAGACTTCTTTTCTTTTTTTTAAGATTTATTTATTTATTTATTCGAGAGAGAGAGAATGAGAGATAGCACAAGAGGGAAGAGGGTCAGAGGGAGAAGCAGACTCCCTGCCGAGCAGGGAGCCCGATGTGGGACTCGATCCCAGGACTCCAGGATCATGACCTGAGCCGAAGGCAGTTGCTTAACCAACTGAGCCACCCAGGCGCCCCTCAGAGACTTCTTCTGTACATAAAATAAAATTCAGCTGTCCTTACCCAGCTCCAAGGCCAGGCATGATCTGGCCCTGCCAATCCCCAGCTCATCCCCAGTCAGCCTTCATTCACCCCACCCACCAGTGTCACTGGCTTCTCTGTTCCTTGACTCAGGAGCATGCATTCGGCCCCATGGCCTTCACACCTTCTCTCTACCTGGAATGTGGTGCTCCTCATTTCTGAGCTCCTGATCTTCCCTGGCTTGAACTTCAGGACTCTCGGCTTACCTGTTTTAACTTTCCATCCTAAATTAAGTCCCTACCCATAGCCAGGTGGTATCTAACACAGTGCCACAGTTTGTCTGACTTATTTTCTTCCTAACACCTAACACAGTTTGTTATTTTATTTTTACTTCTGTGATCATGTATCTCATACCTGCTTCCCTCACTGAACAGTAAGCTCTGCGAGGGCAAGGATCGTGTCCGTCTGCTTCCAGCATGCTGCCCCCCATGTAGTAGATGCTCAATAAATATGCATCCAAATGAAACAGTAAATGGCCATGTGTTCTAACTTTCTTCATTCCACAGAAGACGAAACTAAAACTCAAGGGAAGTGGGTTTCCCTCAGCCATTGAGGCACATGGTGGCCAAGGTGGAATTAGAACTGAATCAGAATTAAATAAAAATTAGAATTACTACCTGGATTTGAACTGTCACTACCAGGCCAGGAACAAGGACAAGAAGAAATGTATCAGCTGGAACTGGAAGTGGGAGGGAAGGTGGAAATTTTTCATCTACCCTGGAAAATTCTCTAGTGGCTCTTAAATGAGGAGTTTTAATTTTTATTTACTTGATAGTTTATTCCTTATCATTAACCAATGTCCAAATACTGATAGATACTCTATGCAAAAATCAGAATTACCTATTTTCCCAGCCACGTGGCTAGTCAGATCTCATGGAGACAATTAGTAGCAAAGGCAAAAGAGAGAGGCCACATGGCCACACTGTCCCATCTGTTCCATGGGACCTTGGCCTCTGGCTCAGCCTGAAACCAGATGAGGATCCTGAGAACTCTCAAGCCCCTCGCCCTTCCTGTCCCTAGCCCTGTTTGTGCTGAATGACTGCCACCCACACAAGTTAACCGTTACTTTGGACCCAAACTGAGCTTTGCCCCCAACTTTCACAACTCAGTGTATTCTTTGCCCAACAACAGAAAGCTAACCCTGGTTGATGGTCCCCACGAGGGGACAATGGGGGCACAATGGGGGCACAATGGGGGCACAAGAGAGGGCCCCAGGACTCACCAGCAAACAAGAACCCAGAGAGAAAGGGCAAATGCTGCCTTTCCACAGGGTTATTCTGGAGTGTACTGTTCAGCTCCCAGCTTTCACACATTCTTCCCGGCAGCAGCACACAAGGCCCCTATAACAGGGGAGCCTCCTGAGGCCTGCAAACTGATGGCCCATTTGACACATTCACCACTCGCTCAGCAAATACGATTTCAGCATGTGCTGGGTGCCAGGTTCTGGGCCCAAGTGTGTATACTCTAGGATCTGAGAAAATGGGAAACAAGCAATGGTTTTCCACACATTGTGAGCAAGAACTCTCATGGAGCTTCTCCCCCTGCCTAGTGGGCAGGGCTGGTTCTGACTATGCGAGCTAACAAAGGGGCACCAAAACCCTTAACAAGTCCCACTGTCTCAACAATATAATCCAGAAATCCAAGCCAGGTGGATTGGGAAATAGCTACTAGTCAGCACTTAAGATCCATGGGCATTAAACCTTCAGTGCAGACAAAGCAAAGCCTGCCAATCAATCAATCAATAAAGGACTGGACTACCCTTGAGCCCTGCTTTCTTTGCTAAGATGATACAATTCTTTCCACCACTCAGTGGCTAACGGACACACAATGACAGACAGTTTCCCATTATGTGAGCTGCCACCACCAGGATGAGAGGAGGCAGGGGACCCAGACCACACCGTAGTTAAGAAGGGAGGACAGGTGACAAACACATAGGACCTGGAAACACCAGGACCTGAGAACAGCCATGAGAAACAGGAGCAAAGGTGAGGAAAAGGTCAGAAACGTCAAGATTTTGAGACTGAAAATAGAAAAAATAATGATACTACTGAAAAGCAATTTGACATAGTGATTTAGAGTACCAATGCTAAAGTCAGGTTATCTAGATCTGAACCTTACATTTGTTCCTGACCAGCGATGTGGACCTCAGACAGATTACTTAAACTCTCTCTGTACTTCAAGTACCCCAGCTACCACCCAAGGAAATAAATAACAGTACTTCATGGGGTTCTAAAGAATTAATCCAATTAATAACCCACTTAGGTGCCTAGCACATGGAAACTCATTCTAAGTGTTTGCTTTTATTATATTATATAATAATATGTTATATTTTACTGTTTCTATTATCACCAAGACAGATAGGCTACGTAGATTCTAATTTCCACTCTCTGACTAGTGACCTTAAGATTCAGGTCCCCACTTGTAACACGAGGGGCTAAAAAAAAAAAAAAATCATTGTTTCTCAGACTAGAATATATATTCCCGAGGGATTAAATATGAGGTCTCTGTGAGGATTTTAAACATTTTGTTTTCATTTCAGGGGTCATCTAAACAAATTCAAATAAACATAACTGAATTTTCTGAATGCCTACTTTATAACTACTTCTGGCACAAGGTTTAAAGCCTAAGTTTATATTTGTGTCTGTGATTGCGATGGCACCAATGTAAATGTAGCCGACTAATGAGAAAGGAACAGATGCAATTTATAAATGGTGAGATTGGACCAAATGAAAGCCAAATGACATCAAAGGAAGGTCACTGGAAAAGTGGTTGAAGAATGGAATCATTAGCACATAGTAATATAGACTGTCCAACCTCAGAAGAATCTGCACTACAGCTTCACTACCATCTTCACATTACCACTTACAATTTGGTTTCAGCTGAACAAGGGCAGATGTCTTACTCCATTCACAATGTTAATTTGCATTGTATTGGTTTTGCAATATTGTCTGCATTTCTTTCGTAAGTATGCATGGGTCATATGGTTGTATGACAGCCTATAAGTACACAGGTTTATATTTAGTTTCACACAGGTACACATTTAAGTAACATTACAATAAAAAAGAAATTTCGTGAACACAGGGGACCTTGACATTTTTGTATTTCTAAAAAAGGTCCAAGCATTATTCTAGTTTGAGAAACACTAATTAAATTCTCTCAAAGGTCTCTTATGGCTCTTTGAGTCTAAGGAAGATGATCATTTTGGTTATAGACATGTTAAGCCTAGTTAAGATAGCCCAGTGGGGACACAGGCTTAGAACTCAGAAAAAAGCAAAGCGGGAAACAGATTTAGAAGCCAACTATAGGGGCTTGTAGTTGGCTGGGTGGCTCAGTCGGTTGGGTGTTCACCTCTTGATTTCGGCTCAAGTCATGATCTCAGGGTTGTGAGAGAGAGCCCCATGTTGGGCTCCGCGCTCAGCAGGGGAGTCTGCTTGAGTTTCTCTCTCCTTCTCCCTCTGCCCCCAGCCCCTGCATACACTCTCTCTCTCTCTAAAATAAATAAATAAATCTTTAAGGAAAAAAAAAAAAGAAGCCAACTACAGAGCAGTGCAGCTAAAGCCAGGAGACTAGAAGGGGTGTGTCCAAGAGTGTTCGGAGATAAGACAAGCCAAGAGCCGACGTCTGAGCTTCAGGGAGCTCACCATGCCTCACAGCCTTCCCCTTCCTCCTCGTAAAAATACCATTCACCCAAGCATTAAAGATGACCTTCTCAGGATTACGCAAAGAATTCTGTGTCCCATCCAGGAAGTGAATGGCTTAGAACCCTCCACAGAAATCAAACAAATCTCAGTTTTATATTCCTCCAGGCTAGCAGTCCGAGCTGAGAGAGTCCACACTGACACGAAGAGATCCAGTCTCTAAGAGCTGGGCCGTTAACTCACTTCATTCCCACCTCCCAGAAATACAGGGGCCCTCGGGTGCTCTCGGAGAGCCAGGTGGCCCCCAGGGCTGCAGCAAAGGCAAAGAGTGGGACGGTCAGAGGCAATTCTGTGCCAGATTCCAGAGGTCAGAACTCGTGCCTGGGCACTAGCACACACACTAAAGCTAACGTTTCTGCCTGGCTGCTGATCTTCCCTCTCCAATAAGCAACAGGGCTACTTCAGGACCACACGGACCTGTGCCCACCAGGGCCAGATTCATTCGGTCTCTCTGAGAAAACCAAGAAGATTCCCTCTCCTCCCTCCTCCAACACCCAACTCAAAACCATGAAGAAAAGCGGGGGAGAATCCCGCCACTTCCCCGAACCGGAGAGACCCAGGCTTACTGTTTGTCTTCTTCTGAAAGTGAGGTTCTTCCATAGCAGCAACCTCAACTGAGGCCAGTAAGCCATGTTACCTCCGCGGGCGCCCCCCGCAGCGCGGCGTGTGGCTCAGGAGCCCGTGGAGACTGTGGCCGCAGCTCATGCAGGGCCGCTGTGGCTGGTCATTAACTGAAAGATAAAGCAGGAGGGGAGAGCGCGATCAGCGATTGCGGCAAAGCCAGACGCCAGTGAGGACTGTTACTCCAGCCCCCTCACCTGAGACCTCAATACCCGGATCCATGTCCTCACTGCTCCCAGGAAGTCCCGAGTCCCCAACTTTTGGCTTCGGGGTTCTCCGGTAAATGGGGACTCTGGAGGCTCTCTGGCAGCAGGCTGGAAGCCAGTCATTATAATCCTAACCATTTTAGTTCCATTGGTGTGATCGTCTGGGAGTGAAAAATGCACTTATGAAAACAGACCTGAGTGTTTGGTCAAAACACTGAGGTTGGAAATGGCATCCTGGTCTCCCAGAGACCTGCCTCACCTCTCCAAGAAAATGCCTCCCTTCACATAAAATGTTAGCCGCATTTATAAATTCTGCCTCAGCTCTGCAGTAATTTATGCTATTCCTTGAAAATTTGCTGCGGACTACATTTTCATCTGGCCACACAGTTGTGTCCTTCAAATGATAAATGGCACCATCGAGAAAGCAGTTTCCCAATCTGGAAAGTGCGTCTTAGAAGACGGTGAAGAAACACCAAGGAAGTGCCACTGACACCTGGTTCCCAGGTGATGGGGACAATCCCAGCGCTGCATGTCTGTGGAAAGAAAACAGTACCCCGTGGAGAAACAAGTCGGCTAAGGCAGGCGGAGAGCATCCCCTGTGAAAGCAACAATCTCCCACTGCCCAGCCGTATGCACACCCTGGCTCTGTTCCACCTGCACCTGCACACGGGGGCCCGCTACTCCGTGTCAGGTGCCGCGGGTACCTCCTTGGGGGACTGCTTCCCCATGCTGGGGGCAGGGATGGTTCTCATACACGGGGGTACAACATTCTGTGTGTCCCAGCTGCCCACTCAACAACTGTATTTACTAAATGCTGGAATTTATATTAAGTAGCCGTGCTAAAATTAAAGTTGGGGAAGGGGCAGAAAGTGAAAAGTAGAAGAAGGGAGGGACACACGGGTCAAAGCTGGGCCCTGCGGGCACCTGGTAGTCGCGAACTCTGGGCAGACACCAGAAACCAGCTTTACTTCTAAATCGCTCAGTTTATCCTTGTGGCCCCAAGTGGGGTGGAGGTGGAAGTGGGATATTAGGCATGAGGAACAAACAGCAAAAAGAACGAATGCAGTGACCACTTACCAATACAAAACCAAGTATTGGACTAAAAATCTGTGGGTCCAAATGAGATCTCAATGCAAAGCTCAGCCTCTAGCAGGATTTTACTCTTTTGTCCCCTATACCCCTCTCAAGGACTTGCATTTAAAACCTCTAGAGAAGAAAAGAGATTGGAGGGAGTTTTCAGTGTCTGAGAAGGAGTGACCCTACTATTACATTATGTATTTTAATTCATTCATTGACAATCCAACAAATCGGGAATTCCTCCAAAATATTCAAGCTTTGGGACCTATTTCTTTTCTTTGTCATTTGCTCAGCAAATCTCTAGGACACAGGCCCCCAAAATTTCTCACCCCAGAAAGAAGAGGTAAACTAGCAATGCCTCGGTTCTGTTCCCAATTTGTTGTTTAAAGATGTCAACTGACCTCCCAGGCACTGAGAGCCAGGATGCCACTATGAGACGTTTTGTAAGTGGCCTAGGATAGGACCTACCTTCCAGAAATATGGAAATAAATAATTAGCTAGATTTTTCTCATGCAAAAGCTGCTCTCCAGGAATCACTTGGTTGATTTAGAAGCTACATGAATCTTTTCAGACCCCCAAGGTAACAGTGAGGAGGCTCGAATGCAAGTTTGTAATCTAAAAAGGACAATTAACGTAGCAGAAAGAGCCCCAGTAGGAATGAGCCCCAGCTTCCCAACTATGTGCCCTTGGCCAAGCCTTTATATTCCAGCATCAATTTCCTCATCAAAAAAATTCAGATGACAATACCTACCTTGCATGATGTTCGGAGGACTAAATGAGAAAATATATAAATAAATTCCTGACGCAGTACATGGCATACTGTAAATGCCAAAGAAATGATTCCCTTCCCCCACTTCTCTCTATCAGTACCCTCTAACAGCGAAATGGTTACGTCCTGTCCAAGAGAAATGGTTACGTCCTGTCCAAGCATTCATTTCTATTCCATTACTTTTAGCAAACCCATCATGGGTTTCTGGAAAGGTAGGAGGAGCCCAGTAGGAAAGAGAAAATCTAAATAGCCTAGTGTTAGAGACCCCCATGGACAAACCAGAGCACAAAAACCACCCCCCCCCCCCCGCCCGGCCCAATCTGAATCGAAAATCTTAAGAGGAAAAGAAGACACACCTCGATAGAGTGTGTGTGAGTTGCGAAAGGCCAGGAAGAGGTTTTTTTTGGAGACTATTTTCCCGAAAGTAGAGTTTCTGGATCTCCAGACAAGGGTTCTGGGCCCAGGGACCCAAAGGTTGCTAGGAAGAAGTAGCCCAGCGCAGCACTGCTCTGGCTTTGCTGGGTACAAGCAGGCAGGCTTCTTTCCCCAAATCCCCCACGCGCCTTGGCATGGCCCTGGCCTCCTGCATAATTCCCTCCTCCCACTTTAGAACACAGTGATCGTTGCTGGAGCAATTCTGTCCAAAAAGGAGGGTTTGGCAATGCCCAAACCCCTCTGCTCAGGTAACTGAAGCCAAAGGGACATTTCTACATCAGTTTTCCAAGGAAGTGAACAAATAAACCAAAACCAAAAAGAATGCAGTACTATGTACCAGATTTCTCAATGTTTCAAAGTCAGTCCCACACTTGCTCCTGCCCGTATGCACATTTCCAGTTACCGGCTGGAAAGGGTCCTACTTCACAATTGCCACCAGTCAACAGGCCACTCTCATCCCACTCCTGGGTGACCACAGTAGCCAATTCACTGGCCTCCCCGCCTCCAGTCTTGTCCCCCTCCCATCCATTTACCACAAAGCAGCTGCAGTTCTTCAATTACACTGTAAATCCACATATGCTCTTCCCCCTCTTAGAACCCTTGGCCGGCTCCCCACCGCCCGGAGGATGCGGTCCTATCTGTGTCTTGGTTTAGCCAGGCTCCCTGGTGATTCCTACTTCTCTCACGCTGCTCCCACCTTCTGCACCATGCTCAGAAGAAACGACTTACGGGTTCTGAATGGGCCACACACTCTCTCCTACCACTGGGACTCCTTGGTGTGTTCCCTGTCCTGGAAACCCCTTCTCCCAGCACTGTCAGCCTGGCTAACTTTTCCTCAATCTTAGGTCTCCATTTAGCTGCCTCTTGCCTGGGATCCTACCCTGATGACCTCCCCTGCACTGACACCTGGGTTAGGAGCCCCTCTTGGGTGCTCCCAGGGCTGCCTCTGTTTTCCCTTGAAGCATTTCTCTCACATTCTGAGTTTGCAGGGACCATTCCTGTTTTCTTCATCATTGTTTTCCTAGTACCTGGCATGTGGTAAGCAGTCAGGGAATGTTTGCTTAATTAATTAAGAGATAGACAAGAGAAATAGGGTTTCAGAATGTCAGGGTGGTGGCATTCCTGGGCCTGCGGTAACTGATTTCTCACGCTTGACTAACTGATTCCGGCAAATTGTCCCCAGAGAGGGAGCTCTAGGTTCAGCGGGCTTCTACCAAACACTCCCCGGCCACAAAGGGCTGTTGAGCTTTCCCAGGTGACTCCTGGGGCATTCGGGAAAACGTAATTAAATCGAGGTCTACTTCCCACAAACACCAGGTTTAGCTAAGGCCCAAGCAAGCCATCCCAAGGCCAGCAGAGCCATGAAATCTGCCTTCTGCCAATCTCCATGCTCAAGTCCTAGGTGCTCTCCCTCTCTGGCTCTCGTCATCAGTCACTCAGGTGGACCATCCTTTGATGGTCCATAGATGGAAACATAGTTTCCACACCCTCACCTTCTTTTGTACAGTATGGACCTAGAGGAAGTGATTTTTCAAATCTCCTGTTTGTTTTTAAGATGGCTCCATGCCCAGTGTGGAGCCCAGTGTGGGGCTTGAACTCATGACCCGGAGATCAAGACCTAAGCTGAGATCAAGAGCTGGACACTTAACTGACTGAGCAACCCGGGTGATCCATGACTTTTCAAATCTTTAACCAATTTTTTAAAGAAATTTTCACTTCAAATGCCACTGATACTATAAAATTATTAGTAGCTAGAGAATATAACAGACTGCTAAAACATAACCTTCTCAAATAAGCAAACGTGCTCAACATCATTAGTTGCAGAGACATGCAAATTAAGACCACAATGAAATACTTCTACACATCTGCTGGAAGTATTAAGATTTTTAAAATTTTAAAGTGCTAGCAAGTATGTGAAGCAACTGGAACTCTTATATACTCTAATGGGAATGTAAAATGGAACAGATACTTTGTAAAACAGTTTGGCAATTTCTTGTAAAGTTACACACAGGCTTATGATACAGCCCAGCCACCTCATGCTAGGTATTTACTCAAAAGATAGGAGGGCCTATGTTCACACAAAGACTTGTGTGTGAATGTTTATAGAAGTCTTATGGAATAGCCAAAACTAAAAATAACCCAAATGTCCATCAACTAAGGGATAAATTAAAATGGAATACTCCTCAGCAATAAACAAAGAACAAACTACTGATAGGTACAATAGCATGGATGAATCTCAAAAGCCTTGTGCTAAGGGAAATACATAAGACACAAGCAACTGCCTACCACAGGACTCCCATCTACATGACATTCTGAAAAGGTAAAGCAATGAGGACAGATCCCTGGTAGTGGGTGGAGGGGAAAATAGATTGCAAAAGGAGCACTGAGTGATGGAAATATTCTATATCATGACTGTGGTAGTTGTTAAACAACTATAGACATTTATCAAAACTCATCAAACTATACACTTTAAAAGGGTTAATTTAATTCTATGTAAATTCTGCATCAATAACCTGACCCCCTCCCCCCAAAAATCACTTGCTTTCCGTTATAATAGTTAATCTACTCCACAAGTCCAGTCACGCCTGAGAGGACCTGAGAACTGTATAGTATAAAGTCTTAT